GCGGGGGGTGGGGGGCAGCGGCGGTTACATCTCCGGCGCTTCCCGGGCTCCACCGGGCAGGCGGCACCTCGGCGCTGTGCCAGCCGGGCAGGCTTCAGAGCTGCTGCTGCAGCCCAGCCTGCACCAGGGGCCTCCAAAGGGCTGGGCTGGTAGGAGATCTCAGACCTTCGGCCTTCAGCGCCCACCCCACGCTAACACTCCTGCCCAGCCCTTCCAGGTCAGGCCAGAAACATCAGTAGCTAGAGCCACCCGGCTGGTTAAGGGCAGGACGCAGATGCTCCAGGGAGCTGTCCCCGTGACGAAGCAAAGAGCTGGGCATCCTTGCAGAAGGCGTGAGGATCGATGCGTAATTTAGTTAGGCTTGACTGAGCAGGAGATGCGGCCAGTGGAGAAGGGGAAATTTTCCACTCGGTCCTGACTGCTTGGCATAGTGGTCGCTGGGCAAAACTTGTGTGGGCATGGGTGCCCAGCCCGTCAGACATGCTGGGCTGCCCCTGAGGCTGGGGGGGCCACGGGAGACAGGGGCAGGGCAGCGTATTGCTCCCAGGGGAAACAGGCAAAAAAGAAATAGCCCAGGGGATTAGACTGAGCAAGCGTTCCTGAGATTACAGCTCAGAGGTGGGAGCCGGGGCTTTCTTCCCACATTGCTAATCACTTACCCAGCACTCTGAGCGTCTGAGCCCTGCCGTTGTGCCTCCAAGCTGGAAGGTGGGGGCCCATCCTACCTTCCTCCCCCGGGGACCCGACTGCATTGTCAGGCTTAATTCATTAACATCTGTGAAGTGCTCCGGCTCCTAGGCTGGAAGGCGGCACAGATTTGGCTCACTCCTGCAATCGCTAAGCAGTACCAAGAAGAAATGGGGTCTGATCTGGCCCTACGGTGTTGCTACCAGCCAGCAAAGCACAAGGTTAAGCTAATAAGAGTAAGGAAGATAGGGAAGAGCTAAGGCTCTGCAAAGTGATCAATCATGTAAAGGTCAAATCCACATCTGAAATGTAACAGACAACCAGCAAGAGCGAGTGAAATCCCAGGGGGCCTGGGCTAAAATCACACTGACAAGAGAAGAGCAACATCTCAAGAGCTAACCAAAATATCATCAGCTCCAGGACATGCCGCTTCCCCTCCTTCCTCGCGGGGTGGGCAGCTGCCTTCATTTGGCCACAGGAGTTCAGGTCCAAGCCTGCAGACGTGGGCGTCCTCGGGCATGGCATTATATGGGTTCTTGTATCCCCAGTGGGGAGGACACCCGAGTCGGAGAGCTGGGCAGCCCTGCCTGCGGAGCACGATTCTCCACGGGAGCTTTCAGAGCCAGAGGAAAGGGTTTCCAGCAGCAGCAGCTGAGTGCCAGTAAGGCATCACTGCCTCAGCTCCAGCAGCAGTGCCATGCAGGGCACGGTGAGGCACTGCCAGTGAGGGGGACGTGGTGCTCAGCTGTGAAAGCACAAGCTTTGAAGTGTTTTCGTTTCTTCTGCATAAAACTGGGATTGTTTACATGTATTATCTAGTAGCAGATAAAGTTCTTGTCTGACTCAAGCTGCCACCCGCTCTCAGGCATCATGCTGCGTTTGTCTTGGAAGTCCGCACAGCCCAGGCTCCCCACGGGTCTGTTCCTGATGCTGTCCCCAGAGTCACAGGGGATGGTGGCCTTGTGTCCCCTGCAGCCACCTAGGTCGTGCTCTGCTGTCCCCATTTCTCCAGTGGCAAGTGATGTGGGTGGGGGCCACCTCAAGCCCTCCAGCTCTGAAGCCGATGGGGCAGCAGCCTGCGCTATCTCCCCAGGCAGGCTTGGAAGAGCCCCCAGGATCCTTCTTCTGCGCTGTTGGAGCTGCCCAAGACCCAGCCCTGAGCTTTGGGAAGCCTGTCAGCCCTTTCCCTCCCCTGCTGGCCTTAGGACTAACGCATGTGCTCCTGGAAGGCTAAAATTAGCCAGCCAGCTGTGCGGCACACGTGCACAGGAACCTCGGTCCCCAGGCACGGCCTGCCAGCCAGGTCTGCCGAGGAGGCAGCATCCTACCCTGGGTAACATGACTAGTGCAGGCTGCCGCAGGGAGGGCAGAGGGAGAGGCTTTCCTTGTTTCTCTGCCCCTTGAGCCTGCACAGGGACCCAAGCACCAAGCAGCCGAAAGCAGTGGGCAGAAGGGAGAGGGTGTCCTCTCCGGCTGAGCCTGGCAAAGGCTGCCCAGGAGAGGCACAGCCCCTACAGGAGCCTTTCCTTGCCGGGCCCCTCCCCAGAGCAGGCTGACAGCGCTTTCCCCATCTCACCCATCCCAGGACCCCACTTCCCCTTGCACAGGCAGGGGCTCCCTGAAGCAGAGCGGTGCTTCAGGCGAGGAGCTGCAGCCTGCCCCACACGTGGTTCCTCACGCTGCCTTTTGCTCCCCCTCCCCAGCACGGCTCCTGTACAGAGGCGGCTGAAAAGCGGCGGTGGGAAGCACCACAGCTGCAGAGGGAACAGGCCATTTTTAGCAGAGCAGCCTCCCCACTGCTGGGCTGCGGGCAGAGCTGTGCGGGGCTGTGCTGCAGCACTGCAGCCTCCCACCGCTGCTTTACATCCAGCAAAGGTCTTGGCCCCTGCCCACGAGAGAAAGCCTGTAGCTTCATGGTACTTGCTCACCACCCTATATCCCACTGGCTGGGATCTGATTGGGTAACTTGATCTTGCATGTTTAAACTGCTGGTACTTTTGGGGGTGAAGTTTAACAGGGATGCGGCAGTGCCTGAAGTGGGGGTACCCAACCGTGGGGCGCCGGGGGCTGCAAAAGGGACATGCCAAGGAGCCTGTGGAGCTTGGATGCTCTGGGGCTCAGCAGTACTGGAGGGCAGGGGTCCTCATTGTGGATGTTTCTATTCCATTTTGGGTGCTTAAAGCCTTTTCTGGATCTGGGTTTAAAATTAGAGGAGAATTTTTCCTGAGTAACTCCTTTTACTGGTGAAGCGTGGGCTGAGAGGGAGGACAGCCCTATTGAGAGCTGCTGGTAACCCCTTAATGATGGGGTGAGCGACACAGCCAGGAATAGACCCACAGAGGCTGAAAAGGGAGCTCAGCTTTTCACCCTCCATTGCCTTTTTTCATCGACCATCTCCCCCCATTGTGGCTCCGGCACCCTGTGGGAACTCATCTTCCACATCACGAGTATTTACCAACTGTAGCGCTTCACCAACAGCAATGGTTTCTGCCCAGCGGGTCCCATGGGAGCTAATCCTATTCCCAGGGCCTGAGATGGAGAGACGGCAGCTCAGAAAACCTTCCCGAGAACAGGCGATGCTGGAGAAGGGCAGCAGTCTGAGGCTGGAGATGCTCACTGAGCGCTGCCCTCCCAGGCCAAGCCCCGCTGAGAACTGGGTCAGGCGGGGAGAAGGCAGGAGTCCCGCCGCTCACACCAGTGCAGTGAGTTCCCAGCTCTGGGACTTTAACCACCAGCCTACCCTCGCCATCGCCATGCCTTGCCCGTTTCCCAGAGGGAAACATTCCCTCTGCCACCACAGATGGCTCCAGTCCCAGGGCCTGGCCACGGCTTTGGGCTCCAGCGCTCCAGGGAGCCAGGAAGGGCTGAGAACCATGGGGTCAATGCCACAAAACCTCTGGCTGCAGCTGGGCACACCAACCCTAGTAAGCTGGCCCCACATGTGCCCCCTTGCCTGTGACGCAGGCAAAGCAGGAGCAGTGAGGGCACCAGGACCCCAGCTGGAGCTCCGGTGTCCTCCTGGGGGAACGGGGCAGCCCATGTCCCCCTCAGCAGGGCAGGAGGAAAGCTGCAGGCTAAGGGACCACCACTGTTCCTGCATGAGAATGGACACATTCACAGCATCCCACATAGTCATCTATGTGATCCCACCCAAAACTCTCACTTTTGCTCCTGCTGCGTGGCTGGCCAGGGAGAGCAACTGAATTTACCTTGAGCAGCTCCTTGGGGAAGTCAGTGCCTCCATTGAGCCCCTCCAAGTTGCCAATGAAGTCAGAGCAGGACATTCTCTTCCCGATGTTCTGGGGGAGCCAGGAGGAGAGAAACATGGGGGGGTTACCTTTGGGCCAGGGGGCCGGTGCTGGCTGGAGCAGGTCCCACAGCCCAGGAACAAACCCCCTGTCTCTGCAGTGGGGTGAGGGACCAGCCAGCTCTCAGGGAGGCTGCTTGAAGGTGTGGGGAAGCTGCCAGCTTTGCCTAGACTCTGGGAGTCTTAAATAGCCTCCGTTTTCTAAGTTGGGTGCTACCTGCTCCCATGGCAGCTAGTTTTGGAGTCTCACTCCCACCCTCTTTCCCTGTCCACTTTCCTCTTCTGTCCTCATCCCACCTCCACATCTTCCAGCTCAGCACGTCTCCTCCAAAGTCCCTCCTTCGCCAGCTCCCTCTCTCACTCATCCTTTCTCCCCTCTCCTCCCCCAAACACATTAGGGGTGACCAGCCCTCGTGGGTCCAGGGTCCCGTACCTGCAGTTCAGGGTGGTGGGGACAGACAGTGCAGGGACAGACGGGGCCGATGGCAGTGGGAACTTACGTGTCCATGCAGATCTGTGTTTAGCAGCATCAGGGCGCAGGTGAGGGTGTGGGCTCCATCTGCAGCACAAGCACAGGACAGGAATTAGAGCCCCTGGCTTGGCCCCGCAGCTGGTGCTCCAGCCCCTCAGCATCTCAGGCAGGGCATGGGGGGCTCTGAGCGCCCAAGGCAGCCCCGAGCCCACTCCTCCCGCCCCAGGCACGCAGGGCACACAGCAGTCAGCGTAGTGCTGGCAGCACGCGGGCAAGTAGGTAGGAGGCCACTGAATCAAAGCTGGTCCCAAACCTGAGCGTACAAACTCCTTTTCAAGCCTGCATCCCTTTCAGCCAGACAGCGATGCTGCAGCTAATCCTGCAGAGCTCCTAGCACGGCAAGGTGGGACCGGCACAGCCCTCTGCCAGCCAGGCAGCCCAAACCTCATCTTGCCCCAGAGCCAGCCCAGAGCAGACCCAGCACGTGAACACACATAGGAGAGGCGCAAAGACGTTTAAACAGTACAAAGTGGGTGTCTGTGCCGCCCTGAGTGCTGGGCACCCGAGTTTTCTCACCTGGCTATTCCCTGAGCCGAGGGTCTGAGAGCTGGGGTGTATTTGGTGAGGAGGGCCTTCTCTCGCCTCTTGTACTAATCTGCTCAAGGTCAGAATTAAGGATGGGTTGAGCCCTAATTATGCATGATCCAACTGGAGGAGCTTTTTTTTTAAAAAAAAAAATCTAAAGCATCTGCCATTTGAGGGAAATGACATCTCTGGGGCTGTCTCCTAAGGCGTCAGTACAGGCTCTCAGCCTGCTCTGTTTCAGTTTGAGCACCTTCACCGACTTGACAAATGCATGGGCTCGCTTGAAAGACACACACGCGCACACGGATACGCACAGTTTCTTACCCTCCGAAGAGATGGCATTGGGATTACACTCGTAATACCGCTGGGAAAAGTGAGCCAGCACTCGTTCTCGCTCTTGCGTCTCTCCCATCAAGGCCAGCTCCTTTAGAAAGGACCTGAAGAAGCAGCAGCAGCAGCAGCATTGGTCACACTTGAAGCCCACCAGCAGCTTCTCCAACCCACCTTGCGCAGGAGTGGAGCTGTGCTTTCTGGTCTGGAGACCCCCCTATGTGCCGGACGAAGCCCTGCCATTGCACATCCCTCTCAACCAACTGCAGGACTCCCCTCCAAGCCCACAGCATCGTACCCTGCCAGCACATCACAGAGACCTGCAGCCAGCCCTGGGCACTATGCCGGGGAAGGAGGTGGGGGTGACACCAAGAGGCTCTGAGCTTAAGGCCTGGAAAGCCAGTCCTAGGTGAACCTGACTGTCACCCAGCTGCACTGACTGGTGAGTTAAGGGGGATGCTCTTTTGCAGTTGCGTGGCTGAGAGACCACTTTGGGACTCAACCCCCGCTATATAAAAGGTAAGGGGATCTCCAGGTGGGAGATGGGGGGTCTGCCTGCTCCTGCAGATCCCTGTGCGGGTGTGGAGCTGTGGAGGGCATGGTCTGCTAGGACCCCACTCGGCCACCACACACGCACACATGTACACGCACTCAGCTCTGACCTGAGAGCCTGGTCCAGGCTCATCCCCGTGAACACGAAGAACTTCAGATATTCCCCTGCCACCATCTTGCTGAACTCGTTGCTGAAATAGAAAAGGGGTGAGCGAGAGTGGGATTGACCAGACTGTGGGGACAGCAAAAGGCACACAGGAGTTGGGGTGGATTCCAGGAGGCTGGGAGCTCCCCAGGGCTGTGGGAAGCATGCTGGGGACAGAGACACCCCACACTCCCATGAAACTCAGAGGAGTCACCCACAGATCCAATGGGAATACTGGGCATGTAAGAGAAACTGGAGAAGCTAGAGCTGGAAGGGACCACGAGAGGTCAGCTAGCCATCGCCCCATCACCTTACTGAAGCATCCAAGATGCAGTCATGGTAGGAAGGTACCAAAACCTGGATGTCTTTTAGGTTTTAAGACCTTTAGAGGGAACACCTGGTATCTGTAGCAGGTGTACCAGTCACAGGCAGTGGGCTCTGGGGTCCTGCCAGCTCTTCCCTGCCAGCCCAGTGCCCTGCAAGGGCAGCAACCGTGGGTACACCACGGGCGCAGGTGGCCCCCTTGTAGAATGGGCCGTTCCTTGCAAATACCCACACGTACTTCTTCCCCAAGTGACGGGCCACATCTGCTTTTTTAAAGCCATCCAGGTTGTACAGCCTCTTGGCCAGGCGTTTAGCAGCCTCCAGATCAGCCTTGTGCCCGTTGGAGAGGGTGTCCGTGCTGCCCAGGGCCAGCTGCTCCACGCTGTCCATCTCCGAGTCTGAGTCTGAAACCAGCTGGCTCAGGGGGTGGTCACTGCAAGGGGAAGGGACACTCCACATTAGCCTGCCTACAGATCCTCTTCTCGTTCAGCTTCTTGGGAAATGCAGGCTCCTCACAATGCTTCGGAGACCAGCTACTCACTGCTGGGACCCAGGATGAACAACACTGCTTAGAGACACTCCAAGGTTGGGTCTGGGAGCTAAGGGAAGGTTTGGGGATGCGGCTGGAGGAGACAGGGGGTGACAGGACAGCTCCAGTGACTGATGACGGGACCAAAGCACCCAAACCCATGTCCAAACTGGATGTAGAGAGACAGGACAACTGCTCCAAAGTTCCCCACCCTGAGCCTGTGAAACTGCATGTGTGGGCTCAGGCTCTGCCAAGCTCAGCCGTAGCGGAGACTTTGAGCAGAAACATGTGCACATCACATGCTGTCCTACAGATCTGCACTCATTTTTTAACCTGGACAAACTCCTCATGCTGCTCTTGAGCACAGTTTCTACCCAAGACAAGATGACTGTAATTTCTTCGCTCGCCTCTTCCCACCCACAGACTTCAAAGCACTTCACAGAAGGGAAAACTGAGGCAGAGAGGGCGAAGACGAAGGAAACACACACCCCCCGAGTCTCCCAGCACACAGCGGGGTGTACTGTCTTCTTCAGGCTGCCCATCAGCTCTCAGCCCACCATGCCTTAAATGGCCACGTTAGGAGACGCTCTTGGCTTAGCCCCCGAAGCAGTCTGACTCAGCAGCACAGAAGTTATCCCAACGAAAAAACTGGTTGAATCTAATCAACAACAAACGTTAGGCAACTCTGACCTCGCCCAAATTTTCTGGCAGACCTCACAATGTTCCAGTCTGATTTATTTTTAAAAGTCTCTAATTGACTTTTAAGAGGCCTGCTCTCCTGAGCCAATTACCCAGGCCAATCTCCTTGAGGCTCCATTTCTTCCACGAAGGATGAGCCTCCTTGCTGCTCAGCACTGTCTGTCCCAGGGGAGCCCTGCACAGCACTGGCAGGCTGCCCTGTGCCTCAGGGGGCTCTCAGGTGCCTTCTTCCCAGCATCCCAGCCGCGTGCAGCAGGGGAAGCTGCTCTGTGCTCAAACCCACGGGCCAGACACTTCCCTGGTGAAAGCAGCTCTGACACCCTGCGAGTCCCTGGGGAGATGCACTTGGCTCATACCACGGCTGAGCCTGTCAGTGCTGGGCAGTGATTGTGGTAAGACCTGGACGGGTGGCCCAGGGCAGATCCGTGCCCATTTGGCCCCAGCCCTCCCCAGGGAGCCTGACCATCGCCCCATGCCACCCTGGTGGGAGCAGCCACAAGAGTGGCCACAAGGTCGCTAGGAGCTCACCAGCTCTGAGTCCACCTGCTCTGGGGAGCTGCACTGGGCAGGTGGCTTCCAGCATCACTGTCCGCAACAGCAGCACACCCCGTCCTGCAGGCATCCCTCCCACCTGCCTAAAACCTCTCCTCCTCCCAAAATTGTGTGGCCGCATCCAAAGGTGCTGCTGGCGTGGGCCCTGGTGCCCGCTGCCCTCCAGCTGTGCCCGGCTGTGCCTGCACTGGCTGGCAGGGCCAAAGCTGCCCCAGGGAGTGCCCGACAGCAGAGCAGGCTGGGTGCTGCTGGGCCAGTGCTGAGCACACACCTCGGCCCCACTCTGGCTCCTTGTGCGGCTGCAGCCGCTGTGCCCTCAGCCAAGGACAGGGCTCACGGGCTCTTTGCTTCCCAGCAGCCGAAGAGATGAATCCATCCCAGCAACCGGTACCTGCCAGCCATGGGTTGTGGCGACTGTATTTTTCACTAAAACTCTTTCTGCTATCACAGGGGCACAGGCACTGTCCCCTTCCCAGGCCAGCAGCTCCAAGGCTGCTTTTCCAGCCACAGGCTGAGCTACAAAACTCAAAGCCACCCCTCCACCACTCCCCATGCTCCAACTGCACCTCCAGAGCAAGCAGTGGCTCAGTCACCCTCTGAAGACCTTTTCATTCTTCTCAACCACCACCACTAAAAACTCCCAATACCCTTCTGGACCTTGCCTGTCCTGCGTGAGAAGTTGTCCTCCCTCACACATCTGGTTCCTGGAGCCTCCAGTGGCAAACCTAGAGCTCTGAGTCTCTCCCCCCCATGACCCCTCTTCCCAATCTGTGGTCCTCTGCTCTCCTACCTAGTGCTGAGCATGCAGGCATGGGGCCATTTACAAAACCTCTCGTCCTTCAACATCTGTATCTCCCTGCAGGCTCCCAACCCATGGCTGCAATTCTTGCCTTGCTTCTTCTTGCAATGGGCACACAGGGATCACAGCCTGGGTCTCAAAGCAGCTCTACCAGCGGGATCTACTGTCCCCTCCCTCACCAAGTCCCCATACTGATTTGGGATTTTACATCAGCAAAGCATAACCTTGCTCTCAGGATGAGGCACTACCCAGCCATGCCATGAAACGGGTTTTCTTCCAACACTCAAGCCACTCTCATGCTCTTAAATATGGACCATCAGCCTCGATAGGCTGCAAGTGCCCATTCGTGGCACCTGTCTGTCACCACTCAAAGCCTCAGCTGGCTTGGAGAATGTGCATCTTAAAGAGAGAAAACCAAGAGCCCAATCCTCAAGCAAATGGAGAACAGAGCAAAGAGACATGTCCACGTCTGAGGCAACTGAGGTGATGCTGATTTTCTTGCCAATGAGCTAATGTCTCAGGGTGAGTTTTTTCTAGTGTACTTTCTGAAGTGACATTTCAGTTCAGCTTGAAGAAACACTGAGATAATATTTTCTACATTAGATACATTTTCAACCCGAGAACTGGCCCACACTTAAGGAATAAACATCAAATTTGGTATTGTGCGAGTAGCCTCAGCGTGCCTGAAATGAGTCATCCCCGAGCGGACCCAGCGCTAGCTCATCCCTCTTCCTGCTGCCTGCCTGGGACAGCCACTGCCACCCCCCGTGTCACCGGGAGCACAGGTCCCCTGCCACCTCAGAGGTGTTCGCTAGAAAGCCCAGGTCCCCAGTGCCTGTGTTGGCAGCAGCAAGGTGCTTCTGGGGGTCCCTGCAAGGAAGGCACGTGATCCAGCTCAGGGCTCTCCCTGGGACAGAGGCTCTTCCTCAACCACCTCCCACCCCAGCTCAGCACAAGGACCAGGTTCTGCTCCCAGCCCCACGGAGCAGCTGCAGGACCATGGTCCTGCTTGGGGCCACCGCACCACAGACACTCCTTCTCCAGGGCCAGATGCTTCTCCAGCTCCCAAATGTTCCTTCCTGGGGCCAAACGCTCCTTTCCGGGAGATGGATCTTTGTCTCACCCCAATATTCCTCCTCTGGTTGACTGCCCAGAGCCCAGCAGGAGAGACCACAGCACCTTCCCTGGTTGCAATGCAGTGTATCACTGCAGGAGTCCTGACATCCTCTCCACCTTGCCACCACAAACTGGGCTCACCCGGCACTATGTTCGCTCCACGGCTCTCAGCAACCAGGAGCAAATCTTCTCACCTGGATGTGGGGCAGCAATAAGGCACTAGCTCAGCAAAGCCTGCCCCGGAGGGCTGACCTCCAGCTCCTGGCTGCCAGCAGGCATGTATCTGCATGGTGGGACCCTTCCTGCACCAATGCCCTGCTCCCCAGAAGCGGGGAAGGAGATACATCCCTGGGGACAGGCTGGGCCGGGTGGCCATTGGTTTCAGCTGGGGGTGCTCAGCTGAGCTCCTGGGTTGTCCAGGTCCTGCCTGACACATTTCCAGGTGAGACACCTGCTGTGGGAAAGTCAAAACCTCCAACCACAAACCGTGCCACTTGCTCCCCACGGGAGGCTGGTTTGCATCCTGCACCATGAAGGGAGAGGGCAGGGAGCCAGGTTGAGTCCATGAGGGATACATGTATGAGGCAGAGCAGCACTCTGACCTCGATTCCCGATGCCCTGCACGCATGGCTTGATGCCCGATGCCTCCGCCAAGCAAGCCCAGCCTGCCTAATATTGCTGCTAAGAATGTACCAGACCGGATCTTTGGCTGAGCTAAATAAACGCAGCTCCCTCCATCGGTCTCAGCGGAGTGACTTTGATTTATGACAGCCAAGATCTGGGCTGGTTCATTCCTCGCAGAATTGAAGTTAGGGCTGGGAGGACACTTGAAGGTCAGCCAGGCCAGCCTCCAACCACAGGCAGGGCTGGTCCTGCTTTCTGGCAGCTCTGGAGTCCAACCTGGTCCTCAAATCCCCCAGCCACAGAGGCACCCACCAGTGTTACTGCTGCCAGATCCAGGTAGGACGGAACTTTGGGCAGCTGTGCCCCTCCTCAGTCCTGTTTCTCTGCAGACTTCCAGAGCCTCCCCTGCAGCACCAGCCCTCTCTGGAGATGCTTGCCTGTCCTCCATCACCCCATCCCACCAGCCCCTCTTGTGGGGGGCACAACCACTCCTGCAGAAGACAAGGGCTGACTCTGCAATCCCACCAATTTCTGGAGCCAGCTTGAGAGCCTTAAAATCCGGTTACTCACCTGCTGGGTGGAGGGTTATCTTCTCTTTCAGAGACACACAGACACAGGGGTCAGTGCAGGGAAACCTGGGTCTCTCAGACCCTTGGGCAAAGCCCAGCCTAGGGGCTCTGGGTCAGATCTGGGGGCTGGGATTAATGCCTGACACAAGGGGTTGCATCCCACAGGGATGTGCCACTGCCCATGCCTCTGTGGGCAGCCCTGCCAGCCCCAGGACCCTGCCTGCTGCCCCCATCTTCCATGCCATGGAGCACCTGCCCCAGCCCCCAGCATTGCCAACCCATCCTGTGCCCCAGCTCCTGCTGCTCTTCATGGCTTGACATGGAAATGCTTGGGGGAAAATCTCCCCCCAGGCTTGTGCCCCATTTCTTGCTGTGCCAATGCTTGTGGGGTGACCTCTTCAGCCTGCGCCCCAGCCTTGTCCCCCTCCTGTGCTGCTATCCCACGCCATCCCTCCCTTCCCCTATCTCCATCCTTTCCTCGCTGCCCTCCTTCCTCTGCGCAGCCCTCTCCCCCCACCCTCTGAATCCACCCCACGGGGCCCCAA